ATAATTGGAGAATTTGGGCTTGGTGTTATATATATTGATTACTACGAAAGAACTTTGTTAGTAATAGTTTTTGCAGCTCTTAACATTTAGTACAGTTTTATGCTGCCCGGGATGAATTAATTAAAAAAAAAAAAACTGCAAGACTAAAATTCGAGTTCACTAATTTGAATTAAAATGTGATGTTATGTGAGAGTAATTTATTATAGTAAAAAAATTAAATGTGATTATTTTTAAGAATTTTTTATTATAACAAAATTCAAATTTTAAATTCGAATCAGCGAAAAACAAAGCTCGAAAAGTATGCATATGTAGTTGCCAATGAAAAACACCTTTGAATGTTGATTTGTCACAGATGAGTTCAACACAAATTAAATGGCAAAAGGACAAAGTTTTATTTCATCAAAGCACGAGAAATTCTTCTAAGAAGAAGTTGGGGAGAAAAAGGGACCAAATTTCGGAGCACGCGTGGGAAGAAAGTGCTACAGGAATTCCTAATAAAGAGCCATGTGGCAAACGAATATTACTCCTCTCTTTACAAAGGAACTAAAAGCGATATTTAAGTTTCATTGAAATGTGATCAAAATAGGAATATAATGTAATGAGAATAGTAATAAATTGAATGATTAATTTTAATTTTTGATCAAATATTAAAATGAGTATTGTAATCACAATTATTATGTTTGGTGAAATGGAATGGAATAAAAACTATTTGATAAAGATACCTCTTTGCTTAGTCTTTGATTATGCTTTAAAACTATATGCAAATTGTGTTTTGAAGTAATTAATTTACACGATCTGTTACTAACACTAAATAATTAAGTTCGTATAATAGCCATGTTAAGGTAGAGGAACATAATTTATCCAAAAATTAAAAGTAAATTATATAACACATGTATAAGCAACAATAGAATTCTACCATAAAAATCTCAACTGTTCTCAGTGATAGGGTAAATAGAATCAAATGTTTTCATATTTATTACAATGAAATGGATATTTGAAGTAAATAATAGAACATTGAGATTGGTAATGTAGAGAGACAATTTTAATTAATGATTAATTTTGAAATGGAATGATTATCCATTGTTCTATTTTATAAGCGATTATTCAGCTATTTTGATGGAATAACAATTTCACAATAATAGTTATATCTAAGTCTTTTTTTTTTAACCAAACATAGAAATAACTCGATTTTAAGAATTTTCATTCTATTCAAATGGTTATTTCATCAAACCAAACTTGCTAGTAACTAGTAATGGCTCCTGAACATTCTTAATCGAGAATGGGTTTTTTGAGTCTAATATGAAGCTTTGTACCCTTAATTATCATCAGTACGAAAATTAAAATGGTTGAAGTACCAACGTACAAATTTATTAGACCATTAAAACGGTAGTTAAGTGTCATTGGTATTATTTTAAAGTGGTTTGGAAGATGGATAGTATCAAATTTGAGCCTTACAGGACTATTTCAAACCATCAACTTAATGCTCATTAATCTTGAATAGGATTGGGGTGAAACGCTTTGCCTGTGACACGTTTTGCTAACATTTATCACGCAAAAAAAAAAAAAAGGAAAGACATAATCCATAAAACAAATATGGGGATGAGATATGACGGGGAAAGAGGACATGAAAAGTGGTCTTCCCGGAAATCTCTAGTGGTGGTAAGTGGAGTAAACCCACGCCCAACAAAACTATTTTTTCTTTCCTTTTGCCTTGGTAGGCTTCGGCCTTGATAGTGGAATGTTCATATGCGAATATGGTATGCCCACTACGGGTAGTACCACTATATAACGGTACCAAAAAAGCCAGCTTTGTGATTGTTTTCATTGTATTTGTGGGTGGTAGGATGTGAAAGAATACGAAGAGAAAAAGGCAAAAAAGGAAGGTCCCGTTTATTTTATCGATTCAACTTTATAATATAAATTTTGTTACAGTAAAAAACTCTTATAAACAGTTACATTTTATTTTTTTTATTACAGTAAAAAACTCTCACATAAAATCACATCTCAACTTAAATTCATTTCACCGATTCGAGTTTTCAATTTTAAGGGGACGTTTGGTTTGAGGATTCAAACTATGATTTGAATCATGGTTCATAGTTCACTACAGTATTTTTTCTCATAAAAAAATACACGTAAATCAAAAATAGTTCTAATCACATGATTTTAATCTATGAACCAAACGTCTCCAACTAAAAAGCTCTAAAAAAATGTCATATATAATTTTTTTTTCTACAGTAAAAAGCTCTAAAAAAAAATATCACATCTCAACTTTAATTAAAAACTCAAATTTATAAAGTGAACGAGACTACGTACACGAGATGCATTTTAGCGGTGACAATTGTAATTAGAGTAATTTTCATTCACTCATAATCCCATGTAGACTCTCCCAACCACGTGTCACTCGCGTGTACGTTGTGGGTCCCTCCATTATCCACGCCAGCTCTTGCTCCCACTTGAGCTCTCTATCTCTAATCCCATTACTTGCGCGTGCTTTTCTTCCAACACAGACACTGATATGATCACCGCTCACGCCACCCTTCAAGTACCTATGACCATCGATCTTATCCGGAAAAACAAAAAAAGAAAGAGTAAAAAATAAAAGTTTACTATGAGATTGAAATAATGGAATTCTACTTTTTTTTACTTGCGCGTGCTTTTCTTCCAACACAGACACTGATATGATCACCGCTCACGCCACCCTTCAAGTACCTATGACCATCGATCTTATCCGGAAAAACAAAAAAAGAAAGAGTAAAAAATAAAAGTTTACTATGAGATTGAAATAATGGATTTTTTTTTTTTTTTTTTTTTTTTTTTTTTTTTTTTGGGCTCAATCATGGGGTTCTACTTAATTATTTAGTTCCCTACTCTTGTAATAATTTCTGCCACCTCCGCATGCCATTTTTTTCGCAATTTTATCCAATGAGGAAAAGTAATACAAATCAAATATCAAGGTTAATAATCGTTATCGGGGGATTTTCTCTCGTGATCGAATCACATTGTGTCAAAGCTGACAATGTACTCGAGCCGAACAAAGAACTTTCTGATGGCGACGTAATGAGATCAAGAACAAAGGTTGCACACTTGTCCTCAATGTTACACTACTAAACGTGCGCTTTGACACCTTAAAATCTAATTATGCTAATTATTTTATATTTTTAATTAAAATAGTTAATAATTTAAATTTTTTTTAACTTTTTTCCACTATAATTATTAACTAATTAGATAACTATTTTAACTAAAGTATTTTTCACTAATTAAATATAACTAACAAGAAGTTGTTAGCTATTTTTATTATTTGTTTTGACATAAAATAAAAATTAAAAAAAAGTTATTTATATTATAAACTCAATAAAATATTAAAATAATTTATATTTAGTTAAAATAGAGAATACGATTGGAGTGATTCACTAAAAAATTACTAATTAAAATAATTTTTTAACCATTTTAACTATAATTTAATTAAAATATAGAGAGCTCCATAATTCATAAAAGATAATCATCACAAGACAATAAACACACAATTGTAAAAGGAAAAAAAAAATTTTAAAAAGTTTATTATGAGATGTAATTAATGAAAATAAAGAACAGATATAAGTACATTTCAAGAAGAACCACCCAATAGTACAGATTGCCATAATATTGAACATCATCTCACTAAACACCTACCAACAACAAGACATGTTTAATATAAAGAAAATGCCTAGAAATTGGGGATAAATCCCATGACTCCTAGAATTAAAAGTACTGACTATTTCAAACAAATAAAATCGAACGGACAAGATCATAAGTTGTTTAAAATAAAGAACGAATATTAACTCCCCTCAAAAAAGAGAACAAAAGATGAGTACGAATGTTAACCAAAATTTTTCCTTCCTTTTAAGCCGTACTCATCTTCTTTTCAACCAAAAAAAAAAAAAAAAAAGGAAAAAAAAGTGCATCTTTACTTATCCTTTTTTTTTCCTAAGAAAATAATCTGTACTTGTCTGCTTTAATCAGTTCGGAACATTGTGATCATAACTATATAGGTCCGTTGCGTCTGTGATACGGATTCTTAGTCGTCATTAATATTAGTAGCTTTTTTGTACCAATAATATTAGCATTTTTATGCATTTGAGTAAATATTCTCGTTTAATTCGCATATTTAAATTAATAATTTTTAATTTTAATATTTAAATTTTAAATTTTTTATAAAAAAAATTATAATAAAATTAAAATTATAAATTTAAATATGTACTTACCTAAAGATATCTTGAAGCACGTCTATCCGGATAATACAGTGAATATATTATCAAACGTACTATGACCAGTAAATCTGTACAAGCAAAAAAAGTAAGAGAGGAAGTAATAAAAAAAAAAAGATCCATCTTTTTTAATCATCTATATGGAGTTATTGCAGCAACTAAATATAACACTGCCAAAGGACATTCGCACTCTATGGCTCTTTTCTTCTTCATTAATATTAGTAGCTTTTTTGTACCAATAATATTAGCATTTTTTATGCATTTGATTTGAGTAAATGTTTAGAAACGGTTTGGTTTATATATTTAATTTAGTGATTTTTAATTTTAATATTTAAATTTTTAATTTTTTTATAAAAAAATTATAATAAAATTAAAATTATAAATTTAAATATATAAAACAAACGAGTTATATGTATACAGTGAATATATTATCAAACGTACTATGACCAGTAAATCTGTACAAGCTAAAAAAGTAAGAGAGAAAGTAATAAAAAAAAAAAGATCCATCTTTTTTAAGTCTCGTTCGCTTTGTAAATTTGAGTTTTCAATTTGAATTGAGATGTGATATTTTGTGATAATTTTTTATTGTAGTAAAAAAAAAATTAAATGTGATATTTTTTAAAAATTTTTCACTGTAAAAATTTAAAATTAAAAACTCAAAACGGTGAAATAAACGCCCTTAATCATGCATGAGTTATTGCAGCAACTATAAATAAAGCTATCACAACACTGCCAAAGGACATTCGCACTCTCTAGCTTTACCCGCTATAGCTCCTTTCTTTCTGATCTTCTTCTTGTTGTTGTTCAAGTCTAGGCCAAGTTTTCTTAGAGAATATTCTTTCTTCTTTGCCTTATCAAAAAATGGGTGAAGCCGTCGAGATCTTCGTTCCCAATGGTTTCTCAAACTTCTACGAAAAACCAGATCAAAACATCGGCAACCACAAAGACTCTAGTTGGTACGAGGAAGTCATTGACGACGACCTCAAATGGTCATTTGCTTTGAATAGGTTCGTAACACTTGGCCTTTCTCATGCATACACAGCAAAAAATTTTGACCTTTTTCGTAATACCAAAGAAGCTAATTTCATTTTCTTTCTTTTTTTTTTTCCATTTTGGAATATTATTAGTGTGTGTCTATATATATATATATATATATGATGTGTGTATGTATGTATGTATGTGTTTATGTATTATATAACGTCTCTGTTACTTCCAGTGTGCTGCATAGAGGAACCAGCGAGTTCCAGGAGATAGCTCTCTTGGACACAAAGCGCTTTGGAAAGGTTTTTATGCCGTGAATTAATTCTCTCTACTTGTTTCTCTTTTCTCAAATCCATGGTGGATTGTTCATAAATTATGCTTTGGGCATAGTTAAGATTTTAGTACTCGTTGTTTGATTGGTACAGGTGTTGGTGATTGATGGGAAAATGCAGAGTGCTGAAATTGACGAATTTATCTATCACGAATGCTTGATACACCCCGCTCTTTTGTTCCACCCAAAGTTAGTGCCTCTCTTTTTATTCATCTACTCATAATATATATATATATATATATATTTTTTTTTTTTTTAATTTTTATTTTATCTACTTATTCTACTTAAAAAGCCAAAGTTACTGCCAATAGAGTGAGTAATCCCGTTTAGTTTGTTGATTCGAGTTTTTAATTTAAGTTGAGATGTGATTTTATGTGATAACTTTTTATTATAGTAAAAAGTTAAATGTGACTGTTTCTTAAAACTTTTTACTGTAATAAAATTTGAGTTTTAAACTCAAATCAATGAAATAAACGGATTTTAAAATACGTCCCATTTGGTACTCCATAGTCCTAATGAGAGGTCTCAGTCCGATTAATGGATTGTGTGGCCTAAGACCGATTGCAGTGTGAGCACAATTTGTCTCATCCTTTAAATATAATTAAGGCAGAATTTAAGTCCCACTAGAGATTGTGACTGAATAGCACTAGTAATCCTTTGTTTTTTTTTTTTTTTTTTTTTTGGCTCTTTACTAACAAACAGAAGGAAAAAAAAAAAAAGAAAAAAAAAAGCAAAGTGAATAGATAGTAGATAAGAAACCTTTCGCATAGTAATATTTGAGGCTCAATAATTAGGATCTGATCAAAAACGATGTCGAGGGCGGGCGTAATAAAGCAGCCAGCTATAAAGTGATAATTGTTAATTAGACATTCTCTATCTCTCTCTCTCTTTTTTTTTTTTTTTTTTTTTGGGGACCTGAGGACCTTAGGTAATACACATTTTTTAACTTAAGAAACTATTCATAGATTTGGGATTTAAAACAGTAACATCTTAGTTGATTGTATGTAGCCCAAAGACTGTATTTGTAATGGGGGGTGGCGAAGGGTCTACAGCAAGAGAAGCACTCAAGCACAAGTCTGTGGAGAAGGTGGTCATGTGTGATATTGATCAGGTATTATTTACTCTCATTCCTTTTAGACTCGCCAATTAGTATAACATATATATATTACTAAGGTCTCGTTCGTTTTGCGGATTCAAGTTTTTAATTTTAAACTGAGATATGACATTTTCTTAGGGTATGTTTAGTTCGTTGATTCAAGTTTTTAATTTGAGTGGAGATGTGACTTTATGTGATAGTATTTTACTGTAGTAAAAAAATTAGATGTGATTGTTTCTGAGAGCTTTTACTGTAGCAAAACTCGAATTCTAAACTTAAATTGGTGAAATGAATATGGCATTAGAGCTTTTAGATATGACATTTTCTTAGAACTTTTAACTGTAAAAATCTAAAACTAAAAACTCAAATCGGTGAAATGAACGATGCCTAAATATTTAGGTTCAAAATCTTAGGGGTCTACATATATAAATGAGATATTAGAATAGATTTTTGGCTCACACTTTTTCCAAAAGAATTAACAAAAAGAAAAATGAAAAAAATTTTGGGCCATTAATTGCAGGAGGTGGTGGATTTCTGCCGCAGATATTTGACAGTGAATCACGAAGCTTTTCGCCACAAAAAGCTTAATCTTGTCATTAACGATGCTAAGTAAGCAATTAGTAGGGTGTTTTGAGTCTTGTTAATTGTTATCTTACAACACATATAGATGTAGCTAAATGTGTTGCGAATATTTTTTCTGTTATAAAAGAGCTGAATTGGAAGAGAGGAAAGAAAAGTTCGACGTCATAGTGGGAGATTTAGCAGACCCAGTTGAAGGAGGCCCTTGTTATCAGCTCTACACAAAGTCATTTTATGAAAGAATTCTTAAGCCCAAGCTCAAATCCAATGGCATCTTTGTAACCCAGGTCAGAAATAGAGTTTCCCACAAACCCAAATTGCAAAATGGTTATATTTTTCTTACACTTATAATAAACAAGAAATTTAATGTTTGAGAGATCATTACTGTACATAGGCTGGACCAGCAGGCATTTTCACTCACAAGGAAGTGTTCTCCTCTATACACAACACAATCAAACAGGTCTTCAAATGTAAGTCACTTGTATTACCACAAAAATTCGTACAATTTTGGTTTAACGTTTTTTTGTTTTGTTTTGTTTTGTTTAACATACTACTGTAATGAATGTTTATGAATTTAAATCTGATCAAAATAATAATATAAAAAAAAAAAAAAAGATATAACAAGGTAGTTTTTCGTGCCAAGTAAAATTATTATTTTATATAAGCATAATTCTTACTAAACTTGTTGTGAGTGTGACTTGACACTATTTTTGCATGTTCTTTGTAGATGTGATAGCATACACAGCTCACATACCATCTTTTGCAGATACATGGGGATGGGTTATGGTACGTGAAAGCTTTTAAGCATGGTTGTGGTAACTAAATGCATGAAATGATGGCATTTGACTTAGCTTTATATATGGTATAATATGTTTGTTGTAATCCAGGCATCTGACCAGCCTTTCTCAGTCAATGCTGAGGAAATTGACAAAAGGATCAAGGAAAGAATAGATGGAGAATTGTTCTACTTAAGTGGTGCCCTGTTTCTCTCCTCTGCAACGTTGAATAAAACTGTTGCCTTGTCGTAAGCTCACTTTACATCGCAAATATTAAACAAACAAACAAAAAAAAACATTTTGTTTTTTTGTTTTTTGTTTTTTTTTTGGTAATCTAATACTACATGTTGACCAAGATTTTTTTTAATTATTTCTTTTTTTTTTTCCTTTAGGTTGTTGAACGAAACTCATGTCTACACTGAAGAAGACGCGAGGTTTATTCATGGACATGGAGTGGCAAACCGCCATTGACATCTCAAAACAAGCCACAATTTGGGGGGAATTTGCTGTACAGAAAAGTTAGAAAAAGAGAAGCGAAGTCTGGAAATTACAGCATCAAAAGTTACAAACTTATCGAAAGAAATTAATCAATCAACAATTTGTTTGAAGTATATTTGGTTGTAGACTTGCAAGAAATGTTAGCTTGATTGGGTTGTTCATAGGATTCAAAGTGATAGTTTTATGTTAAAAGAACTTTATCCTATATTAAATATGAATGAACTATGATATGAGGCATTCCTCCACTATATTTCCTATCATTTTGATTTTTTCTCACTTTCAATATATAATTCCCCAGTTTTCGTTATATTGAAACAATATCACAATATTGTGCAACTCAAACATATACTGAGAACATTGGTTCTAGACTTTTTTTTTCCCCCTTAAAAAGGGAGATAGAATAAGTAAAAGGTTTGGTTACTGAGCTTCTCTTAACAGTTCCGACAATTGCGGCAAACACGACTCGCCGGCGACAATGCTGAGCAAGAAGTTCTTCAGCGACGGGGAAACCCCAGGACCCGCCGCCACCTCCGGTATCACCATGGACGCTATAAAAACTGCCGCAGTTAGGCCAGTGACGGCATTTTCTTTCAATGAGGCCTGCACTTCAAGCTTGGATTTGGGCTTGGGTTTCGGAAGGCCGACTCTCTTTCCGGGCCTTTTTGGTGTTGAGATATTTAGGGGTTGTTATTTTGCATTTTTGAGTTAGGATGACTTGAGTAATGATTTTGAATTGAATTTGAGTTATAACTTTAGTTGAAGTTGTAATTTGCGTTTGTATTTGAATGTGAACATTTGAGTTATGAATTGAATTGAGAATCTTTTTGAGTTTGTGTTTGGGTGGGTCAAAATTTAAATTTACATTTAGATAGTATTTTAATAAAAACTCAATGGTGATGAAAAATTTTAATAAGGTATATAGATGAGGTTTTATTCGTCTTTTCGTTGTGAATGCATAGAAAAAAAAATCATCTCAACCAAAATTAAAACGAAAAAGTTATGACATTTTTAAGAATAGAAAAAATACTGTTCATTAACTTGAGTTTGAGTTTATGAACTTGAGTTAAAAGGGAAACTTGAACTCGAGTTTAGTCCCAAACTCGAGTTCAAACTCAAATTTTATAAAAGAACATGAACTTAAATAAAGTTGTAACTCGAGTTCAAACTTTTTCTGAGTTTTATTGCAAAAGAACGACCCCTTAGGCTGTTGATGTCTAAACTCACTCAACACCCACGTGCTGGGAAGCATAGTACTCGGGCTCCGGGCTCCTATCTCGATCTCAAATTGGTCGGTGCTCCGCCACGTGCTCTGGTTCAAGGACTAGTGTCCTGCACTATAGTAAGGACTAGTGCTCCGAGTGCACGTGTTCGGTGCTCGGATAGGGTGCACTCCAACCTCTGACAAAATAGTCCTTATAAGCCGACCAAGCCTAGTCGGATAGTCCCTATAAGGATTGAAAAACATCGCATCATTCTAACATTGACACGTCACGCCTCCAGATTGGCTGGAATCTTAGCAAGAAACATGCGGGTGCGACGTTTCGATTTCCATGCCCTGGTGCCTATAAATAGGCTCATTCATTTTTCAGAATTCATTCCGCAATTTGGGAGAGAACACGCTGAGCTAAGCCGGCCAGTGATTGTGTTGCGACTTGTGTTCGTGTGTCCGAGCAACTTTCAAGAATAATTTGACGGAGCATCCGAGCACCAGGTAATCATGAGTGACATTTCTGACTCTCAAAATAGGTCTCACTTCGAAGCAATCATCTTCTTTGGACTCAGGTTCGAACTCGTCTTCTTCACCAAGCTCGAACACGAGTCGGAGGTTGACGTGACCGATGTTGAGCAGGCCACTGCCCGATCACCAGTTCAGCCGCAAGGGATTTCGTTCTCTCTGAGCCCGACCCCACCTACGAATGAGGTTGCTAGGCTCCAAACTATCCTGGCAGTTGATGCACGAACGGTCCCCGATCATGATTTTATGGATATTTAGGGGTGTCAATTCGTGTCACATGTCGTGTTCGTGTCGTGTTTTGATCATTTTTTTTTAAATTTTCAGTCAACCCGAACACGACCCGTGACACGAAATTTTTTAAAAACCGCAACACGAACACGACACGACCACTTTACGAGCTGACACGACACGACCCGAAAATGACTCGTGACACGAAATTGACCCGTGAACCCAAAATTGACACGAAAATTGTATACTTTTATTTAGTTTTTTACATATTAGAAATAACTTAAAATTCATAACACACTAAATTACAATAACATCCATTAAAATTAAGCAAATAATAGTATAAGATTTTGAGTATAACTATCATAATATCACAAGTTCATAATAAAATTTAAAATATGAGATGAAAAATATATGTATTTTTTAGTTTTTTACGAGTTTCGTGTCGTGTTCGGGTTAGGCGGGGCTAACCCGAAATTGAACCGGATTTTTCGTGTCAATTTCAGGTCGACCAAATTCTGACCCGAACCTCTTTTTTCTCAACCCTAATCCGCAAAATTCGTGTCATTTTTTAGTCGTGTCGTCGTGTCGTGACCCATATTGCCGGCCCTAGATATGATTGAGGACCGTACACCTCTAAGGATGTCCAAGAACCAGTGCCCATATTCGGATGTTCTCCGCCGACCACTGAGTAGCACAGAGGTTCGAGCCAGACCCTTTTCAGCGAGGGTTCAATTGATACCCCAGCCCCCCTGGGCCGAGGAACTCCGCACCGGCGTCATAGTACAGATGCCTACATCAACATCGGGCGCCGGGGCCTCGTCCGAACAAAGAGATGAAGAAGAGGACCCCGAAATAGAGGCAATTTTTAACGAGCTTGAGCCTGCCCCTATCCTCGGACTAGGAGGGTTGCCCGATAGCCACGTTCCTGTCAACCGAGGGAATTTGAATCTTGGGTCACCGAGCAGACATTGGACGATCTCCGACATATATACAGCATCCCCGACGATGTCCTCCTCATGGCCCCTGGGCCATCCGAAGTCATACAGGGTTCTGGTTAGGAGCTGGATCTTGTGGATGAAAAAGCTTCCGAGGATGAAGGATTGGTACTACATCCAGGAGGTACTCTGACGGACACTTCGTGAAAGGGAATCCGAACTCAGACAAGGTCTGGAAGCATGGGTGGTTCTTTGCTAGTGGGGCTTGGCTGATCTAGAAGAATAAAGAGCCCAACCACGATGAGGTCGTGCTCCCAACCTGGGGTATGGCCTTTTCTTGGTCGAAGATGCCATTTGTTACCAAGGATCAGCTGAGGAAAATTAAGAAGATCTTGGACATCACAGTGGAGGACCGCCACTACTCTAGAATTATCACCGTGGAGAACATTAAAAAATATAAGTGGTTTGTAAGGTTCCTCCTCCTCAGATCCTCAGAGAGACGATGTCCCGCTCGGTCGCCCGTGTCACACTCAGTCGTCCGATCAACCCTATCACCATTGACAAACCGAACGTGCATTACCGATCTTGGACTAGTGGACTCAACGTCGGGACCTCGGGAAAGAGGGTCATGTCTAGTAGATGGTGGCAATGGGGAGGGATTTCTCGAGTCGGAGACAGGGCTTTTGGGCATCAACAATCTGACCCCACTGCTTAACCATTGATTGTGTCATAGCTAGAGTTTGGCTTCAAAATTTTGTCGGTGTAATGAGCAACAAAGCTTGGTCGTTGTTGGGAGAATGGGCAATCGCTGTCGAAGGAAGGACTAGAGGTTGATTTGGTGTTCAGAAGTTGGGTGGGTTTTGAAAAATAATTTCAGCTGTTTTTTAGTTGAATTTCAGAGTTTTTTTTTACATTTGTAATTAATTTTTTAATAATTAATCCATTTTTAGTTTAATTAAGTTTTAATATATTAAAATGACTGCTAAATCCGTTAGATGATAGATGAAAATAGACGGAGGGCACATTTTGATTTGTTTTTTTATATATCAAGAGGTGTTTTAAATTAGAATTAATTTCAAAAATTCCCTCTGAATTTCAAAAAGGAACATCCTCTCTCTCCGAACTTTATTCCATTAACAATTTTGCCCCTTGCATTACACTGAGTGACGGAATTCACCACGTGTCCATTATTTAGTGAGATTTGAAAGTAGAATTATGCTTATACTTATCTTCGTTCAGAATCACTAGTAACGGAAGGGACATTATTGCATCAGTTTATCCAAAACTAGATCTCATTATTCCTCTCAAAAATCATATTCTATGGGAACTGCTGAAGACAAAACCCTAACAACATGAGAAGAACTACTGAAGACAAATTGACCCATGCCACCAAAGAGGTTGGAAATTGCGGAGAAATGAGGAGCCAGAGCACCCTATATCAACGTGTGAGTCCATGCGTAGCTGGCATCAATTATAACCTTGGCATGCACTCGGCTGAAAGAGACACAGCACCATAGGGATCAAAAAGCCTCCAAGATGCAACTCTTCTAGAGCTCCTGCACATCTCATGCTAGTGAAACCACCATCGACATTGAGCATCCACCAACAAACACCATCCTTTCCTAACTCTGTCTCGACGAGGGAAATGAACCCTAAAAGTAATAGAGCAACGAAAGACAACACGCTGAGAAGGACAGTAAAAAAGTTGGTGACCCCCTCCTCCATTTCGCCAAAACCCAACCCATCCAACCACGAGCTGTGCTTGCATCTAGATTCGTCATCATGAAATGTTTTTGGAGCAAATTTTAATTTTTTTTAATAACCTGATAAATTGATGCATTTTAATCCCTTTTTTAATAACCTGGAATTTTTACATGATATTTTACGATATTACCCTCCTCATATGGATTAAATAATAAACACGTGACGAATTCTGTCACTCAATATAACGAAAGGGGCAAAACTGCTAACGGAATAAAATTTGGGAAAAGCGAATATTACGTTTTAAAATTCAAATGGCGAAGTGTTACAGGAGTCATAGTTTAGAGGAAATTTTTAAAATTAATCCTTTAAGGTCTCGTTCACTTCGCGGATTCGAATTTTCAATTCGAGTTGAGATGTGACATTTTCTGAGAGCTTTTCACTATAGCAGAAAAAGTTAAATGTGACATTTTTTGAGAGTTTTTTACTGAACCTAAAACTAAAAACTCGAATCGGTGAAATCAACGAGGCATAAATTATTTTGAAAAAGTAAGAGACACTTTAAAACATAATACATAGTTGGATGGCAATTATAAAAATAATTTTGTATAATATGTTTGTGGTAATCCAGGCATCTCACCAGCCTTTCTCAGTCAACGCTGAGGAAAAAAAATATCCAGCCATCTGACCATCCTTTCTCAGTCAACGCTGAGGAAATTGACAAAAAGATCAAGGAAAGAATAGATGGAGAATTGCTGTACTTTTTTTTTTTTTAATTGTTATACTTAAATGGTGCCCTGTTTCTCTCAAGTCTCATTCGCAATGTTGAACAAGACTGTTTCACTTTACCCCACAGTTTGAATCACAAAAATTTGAATTTGAATTCTAGTTTTCCACTCGAACATGAAAACTTCCATTTAAAAGGCTAAAAAGCCTTATTACTGCTTCCCAGAGAAGAGAAGAGAGAGAGTGCTGTACAAAAAAAAAAAAAACTATTTTTTTTAATCTTATACTGCATGTTGATCTCTTTTTTTTTTCTTTTTTTTTTTTTTTTTTTTTTTTTTTTTTTTTTTTTTTTTTCAAATTGCTGAATGAAACTCATATCTACACCGAAGAAGACGCAAGGTTTATTCATGAGCATGCGGGAATTGTTGTACAGAAAATTTTAAAAAGAAGCCAAGTCTGGAAATTCACAACTTATCGAAAGAAATCAATCGACAATTTGTTTGAAGCAAATTTGGTTGTAGACTTACAAGAGATGTTAGTATCATTGGGTTTTTCATAAAAGTGAAAAAAAGCCATCAACGGCTTTACTCTATATTTCCCACTCTTGAAAAACATCTAGAATCCATCTTTAATGTCTTCAAATTGGGCACACTTCATTGATGGTCTCAAAACTAATCATTTTCAAGTTAAAACTTTCATTTTAATGTGCCACGTCTCATAAGAACATTATGCTATTGTCTGGACCTGCAAGCTTCAAAATATTTATATATACACACACGCATATATACATGTTAGCCTAATATGCGAAGTTGAGAATTCCCTGGTAAAATAATAAAATAATAATATTAATAATATTAATAATATTAGTAAGCCTTTAATAATACTCTACTAAACTACCAATAGTCAGTTAGGCATTGTTGTTTCTTTTCATCAAGTTCAGGTAGGTTTTTCCTCACACCCTCGCAAGAAATTCTCCTCAAAATCATAAGATGGTCCTTCCATAACTTAAAGTAGAAGACCACAACAAGAATCTAAAGCCAAAATTCTTAAAAGTATACATAAAAGAAGGAACATTAACAGAAGAGGGACGATAACTTACTACGAGGATTAACCAACGGAAGCTTGAGCAGTGCAAAGTGGAACTCATCTTTGGATAGCGTTTGTGTCTGAAACACTCTGGCCAAGATGAACTGTTTGCGGCAGCAGATAGTATTTTATGTTCAGCTCTTCGAAAATCCTTTTAATCTCCATGACTAGTTCAGTTCGTCGTTTGTTCTTCTCTCCATACTCTTGAAACGATATGGTGTGGTTAACATAGAGAGCCATCTTTAACTTGTTGACATTTTCGATCTCAACAACCACCACACTGTGGTTGGGATGCCATTGTTGTGGATTCTTCTCTATGTACCTGAGAAGCAAATTGAGCAACGAAACACTTATTCATAATCGAATTCCTAAAATTTAAAAAAAAAAAAAAAAAAAAGAAGAGGTTGTTGGAAAAACTCACTTGTTTATTTTATCTTTCAGGTGGCCTATCTTCTCAACTGGTGTCATGAAATCAATTGAGAATTCAACAGTATCACCCATATCTGAGCTTCTGTAATAGTTGCTGATGGGCTTTGTGGACAGAACTGAATTTGGATAGTATACCTTTTCATTGTTGAGTTTCAAGAAGACTGTGTTTAAGATGTTCATCTCTTCAACAAGCAGCTGTGAAGTTACATGGTAAGAAAACAGAGTTTTAACTGAAGTGAATCTCAAACAATACAAAGCAAAATGGTTTTTTTTTTTTTTTTTTTTCCTTCCTTGTAAACATTACCGGAACTCCATCAATAACACAGCGGTCACCAACATCAAACGGATGCATTACGAATACAAACACGATGGCTTCGAAAATGGTCTTGCAGGTGTTTCCAAACATGAAAGCCGCCACCACAAGCTGTGAAGAGAGGAAGACAAGCACCTTTGTGGTAGCGATTTCCATCAGTAGAAGCCACACCAAAATGATCACAACAAAGAGGATGCCTGTTACAAGCTTGTTCAGTTGCTTTACGGCCGTTTTGGTGTCATTCAGAGCATGTGCTAGTGCTTTTCGACCATTGTACACCTTAATCTGCAGAAGTCAATACCAATACCAAAAGCATTATTAAGAGATAACCTCTCTGCTGATCAAATTTAGCTTGTTCACCTATTAAAAATTTAAAATTAGATTTAATAGAGGAATGATAGTTTGAACACATCTTATTTTTGCTGCTCCTATGCCCATTTATATAGTTGAGCAATCAAGTACAATTCGTTTGGGGCCTATACAATCCAAGACTATGACAATAAGAGATGTTAAAGTGGAATGTGGGTCTATGAAAATGACATGCACAATTAAACTTTCTTGCAGTTTCAACTTCAAAACAGAAAATACTAGTTGCAACAAGAAAATAAAAATATTTTCTCTCCGGATACAATTACTTACAAAGATAAAGGGAAAAGAACAGAATCAGGCAAAGAATTTACACAGAAAAATCTCTGTTTTTCTTTTTTCCATATCCCTGTTGTCTATATGCTTAAAAAATAAGAAAGATTTGCATCACTGAAGACTAATGAACCATGTGATGCCGTCTCCATGGAGCAAAGAGATCAAAAACGACATAAAGAAATGCATTTTAATATAATGGTCAAACAATATTGTATTAAACTAAAAGCACATACCACCCAATCAGTCAGAGCCTTTCTATCAATTCGCCCATTGTCCGTTGCAAACAGCGGAAGCACAATGTCCACTTCTTCCTTAATCATGAATCTCAAGAGATCATCCTCATCAATGAACCTATTCATTTGCAATAAGTTAAACCGAAGAACAAATACAACGCAAAAAAAAAAAAAAAAGAAACAAAAACGGAGCAACTCAAACGTTAAAACTAACGAAAGACTTTATTTTTCTCACTTAGAACCAGGTTGAGCAACATTTCTGAAAATGTGATAGGCAGCGGCAGTTGCTTCCATCTCGCTTGTAATCTCCTTATCCATCTGCTCCATTGCGCCATTCTCCATCTCGTCCAATGTGTTTGAGATCGTCGAAAGGCCCGAGCTACTAACCGCGTCGACCAGAACCTTCATGGTCCAAGCCGAGACCTTCTCTTGCTTCATCTTGTGAAGATTGGCCATGTCGATCGTCTCAATAGTTTTAGCCGCCTTTCCTTTCTTAGTACTCCTGAAACTCAACTGCCCCATGCTCGGCGACCTCCCGACCTTCTCGGCCTCCTCAATCAGCGCAGGCCCCGAAAGGGTCTGCAAAACATACTGATGGAAAATCGACTCCTGAATCCTATCAAAGAAAGTATTGACATGAAAATTGGACGCCAAAATCTTCAACAAAAGAGTCTTTATCAGCCAAATAAACCCTCCAATTAGAAGCGTCACAAGAGTCCAAGTCACGTAGTGTAAAATCTTATTGGCAGTTTCCGGACGCTTAACTCCATGGTTAAACACAAGGACCCATGTTAGAAGCACAAGACACAACCAAATAAAGACCTGAACGCTCTTCTTCAATCCATGGACGAAGTACAAAACCTTCTTCCTAAGCAAAAAGTTCCTCTCGATGACGAAAACGACTATGCGCATAAACCAATTGGTGACCAACATTCCACAGATGATCACCATCACAAGAACAACCCACTTCCAAAGCTCCAACTCCCAAAGCTTAGTACTCTCCAATCCCTCAACCGTCAAACTTGCCGTCAAACAAACAACGAGAAACAAAAACATAATCCACTCGACCAGAACCTTGGCCTTCACTCTCTTCCGCTTCTCCTCGCTGAGCACGACCTTCTTGTAAATCTCCTCGTCCTCATCCTCCGCCGCCGATTTCTGCGCGATCGAGACCGTCCGAGCGGTCGAGACATTGTTCGGCGAAGCCCTGTTGAAGGAGCCTCTATAAGGCGAGCCGAGGCCGATCTGGCCCGAGCCATTGTGCTCTTCAAACATGGCGGAGTCGATCGGAACAGACGGCTCGCCGAATCGGGACTTGGGCCGGGAGAAGACCGACCGGTTGAGCGATTTCCTCCGAGTGAGAGTGTCATAGGTGGCCGGAATCTTCGGAGGCTTGTTAGGGCTTGGACTGAACCGGCCAATCTCCGGCGAAGGACAGCTTACTGGGACCGACTTGGATATACCAGTGGATTCTGTAGAGACTTTCTGAGGAGAATCTGTTTTGGTTAGCTGTTTGGGAAATGGAGATTCTGAGCCCTTTTTGGCAGACTCAGATTCTGTTCGAATTTCTACAACAACTGCGCTTCCATTCTCGGTTTTCTTCTCCGACATGCTTGTTTCGCCGCCGTTTGATGAAGTTTTTTCTCTCGCTTCCATGGTTCGAAACCGGAAAGTCTACCCTGCCATATTAAACTCTTTGATCCGAAAGGAAAAAGGAAAAAAAAAAAACAGATAAAAAGAAATGAGCTTCCTTTAATAAATATATATTAGAGAAAAATAAAAGTAGGAACTTTATGGATCTTATTCTTCATTCGGCCTTTCTGTAGGCCTAAAGATTCTAAAATATGTTCCATTATGAGTCAAAAAAAAAAATTGCCGCTATTTTTCTAAAAAAAGATAATAAGTAAATATTAATGGTTGTTTATTTATATTTTTTGAGTTAGGGTGACTTAATTTTAAATCTTAAATCTTGTTCACTTTGCAGATTTAAATTGAGATATAATATTTTTAGAGAGTTTTTCACTGTAGCAAAAAAAAAGTTAGATATGACATTTTCTGAGAGCTTTTTACTGTTAAAACTTAAAATTAAAAACTCGATTCAGTGAAATGAACGAGACCTTAATTTGAGTTAAGGTGTATTTGAATATAGTTTGAGTTAGAACTATAATTTGAGTTTCTGTTTAGATGTGTAAATTTTGAGTTATGGCTTGAATTGAGAATCTATTTGAGTTTGTATTTGGATGGGTCAAAACTTAAATTTGTATTTAAAAGTATTTTAATAAAAGTTCAATAGTGATGAAAAATTTTAATAAGGTATATGAGTGAGGTTTTATTCGTCTTTTCATTGTGAAAACATAGAAAAAAAAAGCATCTAAATCAAAATTAAAATAAAAAAGTTATGATGTTTTTAAGAATATAAAAAGAAATTTATTAATTTGAGTTTGAATTTAAGAACTTGAGTTAAAAAGTGAACTTAAATTCATATTTTAATCATAAACTTAAGTTAAAACTCAAATCTTAAAAAGAAACATGAACTTAAATAAAATTATAATTTAAATTCAAATATTTTTTAAATTAAATGAACAAGATCAAACCTGAATATGTTTTTCGAAGAAGAAGAAGAAGATGATGAAAGTGGTGGGATTTTGGTTGAAAATAAAAAAGGGGAGAAAAAACAGTTGAAAAAGTGAAGGAAAGAAGAAGCTTAGATGAGTGGATCGTTGAAATTAAGGAAGGGTAAACATAAATGGGTTGTTTGAGAAGTTCTATAATAGATTGTTATGTAATGTTGGATCTCACTTTTTTTTTTTTTTTTTTTTTTTAATGTTGGGTCTCACTATCTGAGAGTGAAAGCCGGACTTGTTTATTCGGTTTGGTTGGATTTTGGGTCACAATAAGATGGGACACCACACACGACATATTCTCAATCATAGCTGTTCAGCCAAAACCAATTTCAATTTTGTGTATATCGTGACAATACAGTGACGTAAATTGAATAAATGAAGGTCTCATTTAGTTTATAGATTTAAAATTTAATTATATAAGAGTTTTTTATTATAATAAAAAAAAATTATATATAATTTTTTATGAAAAATTTTAATTATAATAAAATTAAAATTAAAATTAAAAATTTGAATAGTTAAAATGAAAATGTATCTTTATTGTTTATGCCTGCCAGGTTATGTGGCAAAAGAAAAAGGGAAAAGGAATGTTGGGACCAGATTGTGAACGTGGTCCTATCAGGCGAATTGTTGCTGGTTTTTTGGCAGAAATCAGTAGAGATATTTGAAATTTGAGTCCGAGTGAGTTTATTTTTATAAAAAATTTTCTACTTCCCTGAATGATATCAACGTTTTCCTTGCATTTTTAAGGGACGTTTTCGTTATTAAACTCGATTGAACTCCTTTTTTTCCTGATGACTAAATAATCTTTAAAATATATTATATAGAAGTTAGAAGCGATACGAAACAAATATCATCATCTTTCTAAAAAAAAAAAAAAAAAAATGAAACCCAATATCATCAACTTTCGTGAAAAGGTAAAAATCTGCATCAACAACAATGAAACAACCATACTATTACGTACCATGTAGTATTATTTTCCAGGGAGGGGAGTGCTTTTCAACAAATCCCTTCCTCTACGTAAAATACATGAATATTATACAAATATGACACACACACACACACACATATATATATATATATATATATATATATATTCTCATCCATGTTATATTATTATTTTTTCTAGAATAGTATATATGCTATTTTTTATTTTTATTTTTTATCGAGCTATCAAACTGAATTCCTACTGAATTCCTGGTTGCATCAAATCAAATTTGGAACTATTCCTCAAAAATTTTCAAATACCTTCATGATTTTTCATAATTATTAGATTACTAATATCTCTAGTCAATACCGGGGAAAGAAATGGGAGGCAACAACATGTAACTATTAATATCAATCACGTTAGGGATGAAAAGATGACAAACATATTGATGATCATCTTCTCATATACGTATATACAGATATTTACATCAATAATGAATTAAGCCCGTATCTAGACAGCTGTTGAGGAAAAAAGAAGATACCATCATTAAGTGGACGTTTAATTTATGAATTCAGAATTATAATTTAAAAATATTTTTATTTTATGTATAATTTTTATAAAAAAATATTATAAAAAATTACAATTATAATTTAAATCACGATAAATTCACGATAAGCTTACGTAGATCAATCCAATTATTGTGGGTAGCTGTCTATCTGAATGGATGATTCCAGTTACCTTTTGTTACTTCTTTTGCTGAAAAGGATACATGTCACAATAATTGACCATAAAACGACAAGTTTCACAGTAAGGACAATATATAAAGTGCTATTCAATAAAAAGTGATTCTGTGACAAAAAAAAACAACACAATGAAGCCAATTTTACACTGTTCACACGCTCACAATTCACTGTTCATTTGTGCGTTGAAATTTTTTCCCGATTTGCCCTCACTCTCTCTTCTCTTCTCTTTTTCTGTGTGGGGACGTTTGTGTCTTTTTAATATCATGTGTTGTGATTTACACGTGTAAAGCTTCCATTGGTTTAATTTATTACAAGTTCTTATTGTAATAACTTATGTATAAATATAGTTGTAACAGTTTTTACAGTAATGAGAATTCAGCTTCTTTCTTACTCATCGAATATTCTTTCTCTCTCTAAGAATCCTCTAGAATCTGTCTGGGTAGAATTCTTTACACATAACCAGTCTCAAAATTCACTCAATCTTATCATGAGCACACATGTCGCAGTTAGCTTCATGAGCCGATGGAAGTTCGAGCTCCCTCTGAAGAACAATCCAAGAAGGTCGTAAACTAGTGCCGTGCATTTGCACGGATATGTAATAGTTTAATTAATAATAATTTAAATAAAATAAAAAAAATAAAATTAATAATTATTTATGTTACATTTATTTTTATAATTAAATGAGATACATATATTTTATCAATATATACTGAGAAGAATATTTTACATTTTTCAATTGAATAAGAAGTAGAAACTAATCATTATATATATTACATCTATTTTAATAATTACATGAGATAAATATTTTTCATCGGTGAAGACTATCTTCACATTTTTTAATTAAATAAGAAGAAGAAAAAGATAACACAGACATAGAAATAGAAAAGAGGACGGGCAAAGCCCAGGATGGCAAAAAAGTGGAGACATAACAAAAATTTTCAAAGAGAAGCCCATAAACATAAAATGGGAAAAACGAAGAGGACGTGCGAAGCAGAAGAACGCATGAACAAAAGAAAAAAGGAATCATAGAACAAATCCACAAAACAGAAGACAATACATTCTAAAAATATTCGATGGAAGGAAAGATAAAACTATCTTTAATATTTAAAAAACACATAGTAATAATAAGAATTTAGATAAATTAATTATATATTAAAAAATTGATTCAGGTATTAATTCTCTACTGCTACCAACATATATTATAGGTAATTGAGAAATGACTGAGTAATATTTTTAGCTACCAACTAAATTATTTGCATACATTTCAAATAATCTGGGCAACATTAAAGACAACAAAATCATTACTAACAATTACTTGATACATGGCAACAAAAGAAAAAAAATACTCCATCATCACCAGATACGGTAAGAAGAAATCAGAAAGAAAGAATTAAAGCATAAAACAATATGAGAGGAAAAGTAAGGTTCGAAATGTTAAGGCAGACTTTTCAATTGAATAAGAAGCAGAAACTAATCATTATTTACATTACATCTATTTTAATAATTACATGAGATACATATTTTTCATCAGTGAAGACTATCTTCACATTTTTCAATTGAATAAGAAGCAGAAAAAGATAACACAAACATAGAAATAGAAAAATAAATAGATAACAAATAAACAAAACAGAAGACAATACATTTCAAAAAAATTCGATGGAAGGAAAGGCAAAACTATCTGTAATATTTAAAAAACACATAGTAATAATAAAAATTAAGATAAATGAATTATGTATTAAAAAATTGGTTCAGATATTAATTCTCTACTGCTACTAACATATATCATAAGTAATTAAGAAATGACTGAGTAATATCTTTAGCTACCAACTAAATTATTTGCATACATTTCAAATAACCTAGGCAACATCAAAGACAACAAAATCATTATTAACAATTACTTGATACATGGCAACACAAGAAAAAAAATACTCTATCATCACCAGATAAGGTAAGAAGAAATCAGAAAGAAAGAATTAAAGCATAAAACAATATGAGAGGAAAAGTAAGGTTCGAAATGTTAAGGCAGATAACAATATATATCCCAAATAATCTTCACATTTCTCAATTGAATAAGAAGCAGAAACTAATCATTATTTACATTACATGTACTTTAATAATTATAGGAGATACATATTTTTCATTAGTATATACTAAGAAGACTATCTTCACATTTTTCAATTGAATAAGAAGCAGAAAGAGATAATACAAACATAGAAATAGGAAAATAAATAAATAAACAAATAAACAAAACAGAAGACAATACAGTCTAAAAAAATTCGATAGAAGGAAACATTAAACTATCTGTAATATTTAAAAAACACATAATAATAATAAAAGCTTAGAAAAATGAATTAAGTATTAAGAAATTGGTTTAGGTATTAATTCTCTATTGCTACCAATATATATCATAGATAATTGAGAAATGAGTGAGTAATATTGTAACACCCTGAAGAATTAATTGAGATTTATTTAAAGTAATTGAGATTATTAGTGTGCCTAATCTGGATTATT